AGTTTTCACAGCATCCGCATAGCAATCCCGACATATTTTGAAGTCACACTCACAAGGAAGAATATCCTCCCCACGTTCATCGCTCATCACCTTTGCATCACAGCCAGGAATTGCACATGATGAACCTTTAGCACCAGCCATCTGAGGATGGTTTGTTTCAGATTCGATCACCTTGTCCATAAGATGTGCTCGCGTAACACTATTAAATCCGCCAGTAAAAAGGGAATTAGACACGTATTGCTCTTCAACCTTCTGTGAGACGGAGGGATCCATGGGCTGGTTATCCGGGGTTGGTGGTATGTGCACTGTATAGTTCATATAGTCACCACTCCCGAGTTCACTGTCAAGATCATCCCTAGAGTAGCTGATGTAACGACCCGAGGAAGTTCTGCGGCCAAATGTCACGGTCGGAGGGATGGGAGGCTTGTTGTTTGAATCCGGCATATCAGAGTTTGATGACAGATTCGATCGGCTCGCCTTGAACGATCTGGAAGCCATATTCGAACCACTACCAGTGATTAATCCTCAGTTCCTATTTTTCACAAAGAAAGAGAAATTCAAAACTGCATTAGCACAATTGAAAAGGAAAATAAAAATCAACAGCGGATCTTGTAAATATCAAAACCGAAAAGAGAGCAAAGCAAAGTAAAAATATGATCCTCTGTCCACAAACATAAACTCGACAACAAATCACGAAACACCCAGTATGGAGTACCAAGTCTACACTGAAAACCAACACCAGATGGAATCCAATCCACATCACATCGAGTGTGTAAAACTAAAACTCATCAGAAATCCATGGACATTTTTTTCCTCAGAAACCAAACAGAGCAACAACAAGAAAAACAGAATGGTTATACAATTTTTTTTTTTTTGGTCAAATGGAGAAAAAAGCGGAGCGTGTCCGAATCTGTAAGAGTAAAAAGAGAAAGAGAAAGAGCTGCGACAGTGGTCAAACAAAATGCGAGAAGAAAGGAAAGCAAGGTCGAACAAGAAGGAGGAAGGGTTACCTGCGTCGTCTTTGTAAGAGAGATCTGAAAGATCTGTTTGGAGGGGGATGAGGATGAAGGTAGCAAAGAGCCTCAGCGAAGCTCTGGCTGGAGGCGAGAGAGAGAAGGGCAAGTGTTCAATTCAAATTTCAAAACAATCTCTCTTCTTTCTGTCTTCTCTCTCTACAACTGTCCGTTGGGTTGCGTTATCTATCAAGTAAAGGGAGAGTAAAGGAGGAGACAGCAGGGTTAGGAGGAGGCGGAGGCGGAGGCAGCGGCAGCGGCAGCAGCATTTGAGAACAAAAGATGGAATGGAAGAAAGAAAACAAAACCTCTCTCTCCGCCTGTCTGAAATGGGTTCAAATGGGTTTGGGAGGGACTTAGTGAGTGAGTCGTGAGCAGGACTAATAGCCCATGATTGTCGGCTTTCCCTTCCCCACCTTTTATTACACCCTTTTTCAAATTTTAAATATTTTTCATAAAAATATAAAAAAATAAAAACACGTCAATGACTCAATACGTACGGGGGGAGGTGCTGTCTCTTTTGACCCCCCCCCCTATAGTTTAGGGATTGTAATAATTTGGACCCTGTATTTCAAAATTTAGCAAATACCATTCAAGTTAACATATTATTGTCAAGATGCAATTACAAGCACAAGTAATCATATTGTATCATTTTGCCCATTTTTTTAAGAGAAAAATTATTTTATTTCTTTAACAAACGTCCTAATGTAAGCCTGAGCATCATACTTGTTGTCCATATAACGTGTACTGTGTCAAAATCTATTCTCTCGTAAAAAAAAAATATTTTATTTTGTGTTGTGAACCTTATAGGTTCGCTTGGGGGATAAAAGTAACCTCAAAGTATAATTAGCATTTTGTATATTTTATTGATTCACATAATATTACAGTGTTTCATAAAAAAGAAAAGAAAAAACAAAAAATTCATAATACCCAATGGGATTTATGGTGGCAATTAAAGAGAATGTTCCGAGTTGGTGGATATAACTTAGAATTGTGGTGGATTTCCTCCAACTGTGAATTTCTGGATTTATTTAGTTATTATTATTCATTTAGAAAGAAGGAATCATTCATCGGTGTTTAGTTTTAATGGTTTTGGTGGTGTCAAATTAATTGCGTGTGACACTCTTTAAGTTTAGATTAGGCATCTTTTCATTTTTATTGTTGATATCTCATTGCGAAAATGGGAAGCCTAAGATTTTGCAAGTGTATACATGGTGAAGTTTTGACTCTCTTGTTCATACTTGTGGATGCGGACGTGGAGTTGAGTAGGTGTTTGTACGAGGGAGTAGGATTTTCTTTCCTTTTTTTTTCCCTCATTTTCCTTCCTCTTTTATTTGAACGATCGTAGTTAAGTCACGTCAATATTTTACAGTAATTTTTTATAAAAAGAAAAAAAACAAAATAAAGAATGTAAAAAGAATGGATGGAAGATAATGGAAAGAGAGAGAGAATTTTAATCCTTGTTTATGGGTCGAAACTGGACACGGCAAATGATATAAGGGTATTGATTGAAGAGATAATGATATTGCTTTTATCTCTTTTTTGGTAGGTAATAAAAATAAAAATAAAAAGGTCTTGATTTGCAGAGATACTGACAGTGAATAATGAGCTGGCTCGGTGTTTTATGCGTGTTGGGTGTTTTGTACGTGTGATTGTTTTGAACAAGAAAAAAGAAGAAGAGAAGCGTGTAAAATTATACTATTACGATTACCAGTCGTGTTGTTTTGTCAAACATAATCTATTGTCACTCGCTTAGCATTAGCTATAATACTAATTAAACAAATGAAGTGTATGATAATCAGTAGCATCAGCAGGAGTAGTCATGTTCTCTATGTAAAATAAAACACAAAATCTTAGATCCATCGCTTGTTTAATTATTTACGCGTTATGTGAAATGAAAAATGATTAGGGTTTGTTTGGTACTTATTTAAAGTTTTTTATTATTTTTCAAAAGATTTTTTTAGAATATTTCTTGAAAACAATTTTCTTTAAAACTTAAAATTTTGATTGGTTTGCGATTTAAATTTTTAAATCTTATAACTTAAACTAGACAAAGAGATCTACAAAGAGGGGGTTGCAGGAGAGGGAGAAAGAGGAGAAAGAAAGAAGGTAAGAGATGATTGAAGGAAACAGAAAAAAGAAAGAGGATCAGACAAGGTAGAGAGAAAGATGAGTGAAAAAAAGAACCGAGAGAATGAAGATAGCGGATTGGAGGAGAGATGAAAAAGGTTAAACAAAAAAAAAAGAAGGGAGAGAGATGGATTTGAAGTGAGAGAGGAGGAAGGAGAGAAAATGAACGAGTTTAAGTTTAAAAATTCTAAAAACTCATTTTTTTTGTTTTTAGAGAATATGCTATATTTTTTAGTTAGTCTTGAGTTTAATTTTTTAAAATAGTTCTATAAAACAAGTTTTTAAGGCTTAAAACTTAAAAATTATTTTTAAATTTAAAAAATTAAATTCAAGTAAAGTACCAAACAGATCCTTAAATACTTGTTTAGTCATTGTCATACTAATTTGTTAACACCTGCCATGTAATAGTGCTTCTTTTATATAATAACATAATAAGATAGGCAGTTTATGAGAGGAGGACCCAAATCCGATTAAGACCTGGTTTGGTACTGAGGTGATTCTGAAAAAAGCTGGTATCAAAAAAAGCTGGGAACTGTTTTTGTGTTTGGTAAACATTCAGCTTCAGCTTTTTTTCACAGTTTTGGGTAAAAAAAGCCAAAAACAAGAAGCTGCAAAACCCAACTTTGAAAAATCGGCTTTTTTTCACATCTGTTTTACATAAAAGTTTACCAAACACCATAACACTGTTTTTTTTTTTCAAAAGCACTTTTATAAAAAAGTTTACCAAACACTCTGCTACTTTATTTCACAGCCGCTTATTCTCACAGCACAGCAGAATCAACTTTTTTTCAAAGCACAGCAATACCAAACCAGCCCTAATGTTGGGCACGTCTACTCCATGGTTTGTCATTCTTGTTGTTGGCCCCCACCATCCTTCCTCCTGCCTCGTGCCTCGGCGTAATCATGGAAGGAGTGTGACCGCGTGGGCCCCCCACCGGCCGCCATTCAAGCAAGCACATGCATTCCCACCGCTTTCCCACCCACATCCCTTTTTGTTTTGAGAGAGTGAAAAAAGGAGAGGGATTCCTCTCTGTCTGTTTGTATTTCCATTTCAACGGCTACCGTTAAATCATGTTAATATAAAAAAATTCACTTCAACATTTTTTACTTGTTCGACTGTTGCCGAGCAATTTTTGAATATCAAACAGACCTCCTTAAAAAATAATTTTAATATAACCGATTTTTCCTCTTTTGCAATTTGCTACAGCTTTAGTTAATTGTCCATCCTTTTCAAGTGTGATCTCTATGTTATGTATAGCCGTCAAAGGGCATATCGGATGAAGTATATTAATTTACAAAAAAAAACAAAAGACAAACAAAATGTGAAATAAGAAGAAGGAGAAGAACAAGTGAGAGAATCCTATTCCAATTAAAAAAATTTAAAAAAAAATTATTTGGTCTCTTTACCCAACCCAAACCAGCCAATTACCAAACCAAGCTCGTAAAGTCGAATGAATAACGATCGCCTTCATGAAAATAGAAAATTCATTTTATATTGAGAGATGATGCCTTTTCCTTTTCCAAACGCGCATTTGAAATTTGAACTTGAGAATTGAGGTAGAGACAGAGAGCATGTCACTATCAACACTGCTACTTTGGGCCCAGCTCTACATGCCTAAACTCGATTACGGCCCACCCAATATGAGAGTATAACCAGCCCAATATCCAAACATGTGCAGCTCACTAGTTGAAGAATAACCAATTCCCACACAATCAACTGCAACTGAAAATTCGATGCTACTTTGAGACTGTTAACCTTTAGACCTTGGTAATTGGATCTTTAACCGGAGATATAAAAGTTAAAAATCCCAAAATATAGAATACCCTATAGTATTGGGAGAGAGATGTCACTACTACTAAGGCAAGAACACACCAATGACCGATCCCATACCATGCTAGTTACTACAAATCATATGATCCTGTTTTTGTTTTGTCAAGCAGCCCTTTGCTACAACATATAAATTGGGTAAAGAAGAATCAAATCGATTATATGCATACAAAGCGCAAGTGTACTTTGTGAAATCAACTATAAAGAACCAAAAGTATAAGACCGCACAAGAATACTCTAGAAATTAATTACAGTTGCAAGTGACCTGCGGTTGTAGAGTTGGCATGCTTGCACTCACAAGTGCAGATACTTCTTGACTCTTTCACCACTCGTTGAGATCTCCGAGTGTGAAGCTTTATGTTAACCAACTTACCAGCCATCTGTTGCACAACAAAAAAAACCTTAAATCAATAGTTCTAAACCGGAGTTAGGCTTCTTATGTTTGTTAATGCAGCTGCACGTAATAAATAATACAGGTTTATCGACCAAGATAATCATACCATTCTCCAAACCAAGTCTTCCGGACCCAAGGGCTGGGCTGGACTGGAGTAGAGGAAATGTCTTGAGTACTGGGAAAGACAAAAATAGCATAAATCAGTCCCCATGAAGATTTATGCCTACTCCAACCTTTTGACAAGATAAAGAAACAGTAAAGCATGGCACCTAAAAAGCATGTCTACTACAATGTTTTGACAAAAATATACAAATACAGATAGCAGCAACAACAAAATAATAACATTCACTTCAATATTTCAGTCACAAACCTTGGCAAGATTCTGACGCAGTTCCTCTATTTGAGCATGGCTAATGTTTCTAAGATATGTTACAAGCCAACCTGGTCGTACAGCGTCACTAGAAGAAATAAATAAAGCTATCTGCAGGCAAAGATAAAAAGCAACTGTTGAGAACATTGGGTATAAGGCCAACAATACAAGTAATCGCCATGACATATGGATTTCGGCAGAAACTAAGCTGTGAGCAATTATCTGAAATTTAAGTCATAAATACCTTCCTATAATCTAGTAACCCTTCAAAAGGAAGTTCCAGTTCATCACTAACTATGACTGGTATGCAACCACTAACAATGGCATCGAACAATCTAGCGGAGGATGGAGTATCACCAGCGGGACTTAAGCAAAAGACAGACCTGACAGAGAAACCAACTCAAATAAATTAACGATGAAACAATGAAATAACTTCACAAAGCAGGGCAAGGATCTAAAAAATTTTACTTGCGCATTCCATTCTGAGCTGCTGCCTTTCCTGTCTCTCCTGCTGTCCCTTCCTCTATAGCTACACCCTCAGCACCATTTAGTTCTGCTACAAGTTGTGAGCGTATCTTCCCTCCCTGAAAGCAAAACACAGTAAATTAGCTATACCTGTTGAAATACAATTTGTGCGCATACAAATAAGAGTCAGACATTCTTAAGCTGAAAATGGGAAAAAACTTCATCCCACAATGATTCTATGATCCACTGACAATGATATCCATTAACTACAGAAAAGACCTCGCATCTATATCCTATGCCGCATTCTTTTATCATTTAGACTCGTTTTCAATGCACTCAAGCCTAACTCCTTTAGTGTACGCGACTCTGGTTTAATTAATCCCGAAAGAAATTGTTATATCACTTTTCAGCAGATTCAATTCAAATCAACACATTTTGAAGCCAAAAGAAATACATCAATAAATAAAAAGACTCACAGCATTTCTTTTAAGCCGACCGCGAAAAAAGAGCAAAGTTGTTCTCTTGGATCGAGTCTCGGATATGCATCTTGCATCACAAAAATCAACATTGGCAACATAAGGAAGAATTAGATCTTTCTCCAGATAGACTTGTCCAGGTTTGTACCTAATAGTAGAGCAAAATACAGTTAAACAAGCTTGAGCTGAGTAATGATATTAGTGAATTTAGGACTTAAAAAAGAAATCGAGTGAAATACTGACCAGTTGCCAGTGGAGTCCATATCAGGAAGCAACCAAATTGCATTTTTCATGAGACGGCGAACAGACTTAAAAGACCAGGGATGGTGAACAGGAAGAATGTGATCATGTCCTTGGGATCGGTTCCAGGCAGGCTGATCGGTAACCCACTTGACGACTTCCTTCATACACAAATAACAACAATAACACTAGATGACCTTAGGTTATGAACGGGGTTCAAAATACAGTCGAACTCGAAGGCCAAAAGGTTTAGTTGACTGCGCATTGTCTGATGCTAACAACGTGAGATATGAACTTATGACATATGTGTGTGTGTATATATGTATGTATGTATGATGTGCACCAATTAGCAAGCAATTAAGGGAAACCTTGGAGGGGGTGGCAGTCAGACCCTATAAAGTGCTTTGCATTGCTGCTTCTCCAGTAAGAAGAAGCTGATGGTGGTGAGGAATGGGATGTAGAAGAGGTCTGCCTCCTCCTGCCTATGCACTCTCACTACGCTTTTCAACAGCCTTTCCGACTCCGGAGCTATCAAATCCGCCCACAGCCAGTAATCGACTGAATGCTGCACAAAATACCCCCAGAAATTCAATTCAATTCAAATCAAATCAAAAAGAGAAGAAAGAGTTAGTAAAACCTGCTCGATGAGGCGGTGGACTGGGCTGCCATTAGAGGTGAGATTGAAGGTCTCCTTGTAAGAGTTTCGGAAGAGCCAGAGGAGATCGTAGGTGAACTTGCTGGGCATGTCGTACACGTAAACCCTAATCGGCAAGCTGAGCGGGTAGTACGGATCGGCGTACAACCTGTGGCTGTCGCTCTGGAAGACCAGATCGTCCAGGTGCGTGAGTTGGGATTGGGTGGGAGTGGTGAGGACAGTGTCATCGCGGGGCTTGGGAGGGCGGGATTTGTGGGCGAGGAGGAAGCGCTCGAGGGAGGCGATGAAGGAGGTTTCGGGTTTGTAAATGGGCTGGTATGAGTGGAGAATGGCGGAGGATTCGGAGGGGGAGGGGCTGTGGAAGGAGAAGAGTAGGAAGATGAGGGAGAGGGCGAGGAGAGGCAGAAATAAGAGAAGTACTGGGGATTTGGATCTCGCCATTTGCTTCGCAGGCACTCTCTACTCTCTCTGCCCTATTATTCTTCTACTTAACTCCTCGTTGTTTTGTTCATCTCCAAGGACGATGCGATGCTGCAACTCCAAATTAAATTTCCCACTTGTTTATCTACTACACACTAGAGTCTTCCTTGGACCGCAGTTTAGTTGTGTCCTTTACATAAATTCACAATGACGTGAATCACGTGACGAGAGATAAAAATATAGAAACCTTGCTTCGGTAGTCAGCAAGGAAGTAGGTTGTTTAACATATTTGAAAAAAGGAAGCATTAGCCCATGTGGATTTCACGTGAGTTATCCCATTATTTACATATTAAGAGAGATAAACACGTGATTGTACGTGTACACCTCAACGATATCTAACCTATGAGGGCCACTGTATAGATACTTCGTGAATTAAGTCTATAGAGTGTTATACTTGTATAACTCCATCAGATATTGTGCATCCAAATTTGGTTACTTATACAAACAATGGTTAACGTACTGAGAAGAACAGGAAGAAAGGAAAAAGAAAAAAAAAGAAGAAGACCGACATTTATGTTCATGAAGGTGAAATCATTCAAACATCAAACTTCAACGTCTCCAACAATCAACACCTACATAGCCTGGTATTAACACCGGCAAAGTTTTCCTGTCCAAGTATATTGAATTATAAATCTAAGCCATCTCAAAAGCTGATAAGGTCATCCTTTGCTGGCGTCTGCTGCTTCTTCGGATCTTGGCTTCCTTCAGATGAACTTCCACCTTTCTTGCCAAATATCATCTCATCAAGATCATCCATCATGTCATCGTTGCTCCCTGCATGAACCAAACCTCGAGAAGCAGCTGGTTTTCTAATCAAGGAATCCTCTTTCGCATGACTTGGTGATTCATCAGGCTCCACAGCTACGGGTATCATTGCAGGTTCTGGCGCAGTTGGAACAACTGAAGGCCTTATCAGTTCTTCATACTTGGATAGAGCTTTATGGATCTCATCATTCACATTCAACGCTTCAAACAGCAAGGCCTCGTTCTCTCCAGCTGTCTCTATAATTCTCTGGACAGTGGATAGAGATTGACGACACTGTTGTACAAGTGTGGTCGTCAAGTCATCCTGCCAATAAGACAACAACATTTAGTCCATCTCTCTTTTGGTATAATTCTTAGTTCCTAAATATAAATGCATAACTAGTTATTCTTGAACAAAGATACGTAATTGCATAAGAAAACATATGCCCTCATACAGCATTATAATTGCATCGGGTTTTCACATTCCTTGTTGGGCTGACATTGTACAATGAGTTAAATTAGCTTTGAACTGGCAGTCCACATGGAAGATATTGTCCTAAGGTCAACCCCGTACCACTTGGCTCTAGATTGGATGGGATATGGTCTTATGGAACAGGCTAAGTAGTAAATTCACCTATTTTAAAGGGCCCATTTTAAGTTTGAGTATAGGTAGTGTCCCTAAAACTGTCTTGCCTAAAAAAATCAAAAAGCAAGTAAAATCATATTGATCAGTCAATAACACAAAAAAAGTAGCGATATTGAAAGTTCCATGCGTCTCACAAAGTTAGGTGACAAAAATCCCATATATTAACAGATAAGATGCAGGAGTCAAAAGAGGATATACAAGTGAGAAAACAATATAAAAATCACCTGTAAAGCATCTTGTTGGGGTGAAGAGGAGAAAACAGTATTAAGTAGCTCAATACTGTTTCTTGCAACATCAAATGCTTCCTTTGGTTGTTCAGCCGTAAAGCTTTGAGCAGCAATCTCAACCGGAATCTGCTGGGAAAAACTAGCATCTGACTCTGAAGCAGAAACTGAACGAGGGGGAGTGAATATTGGTGCCAAACTCTCATTGTCACGACCGGGAAACCGAATACCCCTTGATCTTAAACTCTGAAATTGAGGTGGTCCAAGCATAAAAGTTTAAGTACCATGAAACCACTTCTTCAAACATCAGAAATATAGATCTAACAACTGCACCACCCAACGCAATGGAGGCTCGAGAAAATCAGATTGTGGATAAGGATAATAACAGCAAAAAAAACATCAGAGCCTTATCCCACTAATGTATGAACCCTAGAACGCCACTGCACTCGGTTTTGTGCCAAGTCTTCTGTGACTAAGGATTACAGTAGCATAAAAGCCATGTAAATTCTGAATTACTGTGTACTTTCAATTTTGAGTGTTACTCAGTTTCTTATTCAACATTAGCGTTGTATTCCTTACCCATAGTAACCTGGCCAGCTAAATTCATTTCTGTTCTCTCTAGTACCATGGCTAAATTGTTTATTTCCTAACATCATAAATCATAGGAAGAATCTTAGGACAAATTGTGATGGCTATCAAATATTTAAGTACTTCATACTAGTCCAACTAAACTCAGGAGTTACAGAAATGGAATTTGTCTTTAACAATGTTCTAGTCATGAAAAAACAAGATACCTTGTATGTTTCCTCGTAAACAGGTAAATAGCGGAGCTCACCGGTCGATTCCCCCCATGCTTCGATCAGCATCAAAGCTTTATTGCGATTATTAACAACAGTCTGAGGGTCGTCAATCAGCTTCACCATCTCATCAAGAACTCTCTCCGCTGCTATTTCAGAGAAAGCCTTTTCACAGTTCTTAACACATGTTTCAAGCAGCACTAGCACAAGGTACTGGACCCTAGGATTCTTCAACATAATCCGCTTTTTTAATCCACGAATCAATTCAACACTGTTAACTCTTTCAGTATTGATCATGTCACAAATTTCAAGATTCATAGCCCAGTCAGGTTCTTCGAGTGCTTCTGATGTGGCATCTTCAACGATCTTATCTGCTTGGTTTGGGCCTTGGAAGAGCTCCTTCACCTTAAAGCTGACTGAGCTAAATCCAGCGCTCATTTTTCGACCGACCTCAGTCCCTTCGATCTTGAGGCGCTCACCAAGAGCGCTCACTTTCTCCATCAAATTGTCACTCATCGCTGCAGACCTTTTGACTCTTAAACAAAAACCTTCAGAAAAATTTCCTGAAAATTTATGATAATACCACTTAGCTGTGTTGCAAAGATGGAAGGATATAAAAATATCACATAAGAAGTCAAGTTGATATATTCATCTATCTTTGAGTAACTCAAAACCCAAAAGATGCATAACTCATGAAACAGCGAAATCACAGAAACAAAAAGAATGAAATTGAAAGCAGAAAACTACAAGGAAAATCACAAAAACGAAAAGAATGAAATTGAAAGCAGAAAACTGCGAGGAATATCGACCTTAAACCCTAAAATGAATTGGCAAAGCTGCAACTTTTCTTCCCCGAAATCCCCTTCTTTTCTGGCCTTCAATTTTCTTGACAACCAAACTGAACAGACAACAATTCAAGGAGGTTACTTGAAAGATTCCTCGAATAAAAACCCTAACCATATGCCAAGTTCAAGTCAACAATCCATATTTTAGTTGCTTATGCTCTCTGTTTTTGTTTGATGACTTTTGTTACGCTTTTATCAGCAAACAAGCAAGTATTTATGAAAAAAGGAATCGATCAGACCAGAAACAGTTATGATGAATGAAAAAGAATCCGATTAATGTTGGATGGAAACAATATGTAAATAAGAAAACAGAGGGTGAGAAATGAGTGCTTGCTAACCTCTTTCTTTTGTCTCTGGAAGGAAGGAGATTTCTCAAGGAAATGGGAGCTCTCTCTCTCTCTCTCTCTCTCTCTCTCTCTCTGAGTATGAGCGGGGGTGGGCCTGGGTTTGGGAGTCTTCCTCTTGAGACGACAAGGCGCAACGACTCTGTAAAGCGATAAAATTCCTTGGAGTTTCAGCCTTTATGCGCCTTTTTCTCTCTCTTCTACGCTACCTAATTAGCTTTACCTTAATATTTGCTTTATTTATTTAAAAAATGATATTATTTGCACTAAGAATGTGAGAGACTGAGTTAAGCTTCACACCGACTAATCATAATAATGTGGTTTAAATTCATTTTTGACGAAAATTGACTAATAGCATTCATTTTGCACATGAAGTTTTGTGTTTGAATTTGACATATTTTAATGAAATTTCGATATTTTGAATATATAAAAAAATTTATCTTTATTCCTTAAAAGAGAAACAAGAAGTTGAAATTACTGTAACTTCATTTTATACGTACTACATCTACATGAATACATATGCTGCATTCATGGATTCCAAATTATTTGATTTTAATTTAAAGCTTATACGCATTGTTTACAGGGTGAGTGATGATTCCCTCTCTGGAATGTCTTGTTCGCTACGACCTTCGCCTCCGCCTCCATCTCAGACACCACAACCTTCATCTCCTGCTAAGACACCACATGCACCTTATCAGACGCCTCCATATTACTATAATCGTAAGACACCGCCGCCGCCGCTGCCAGCAACAGATGAGTTCTACTTGAATTCAGAATCCACCGATGATAGAAAGAGTGCCCTGCTATCTATACTATTGGGAGCAACAATTCAAGCTCTTTTCTTTCTTTCTCTGCTAATCTATTAACTTAATGTGCTTGGACAACTTCGATCAAGTCATTTGCAAGTTTGCAACACGTCGATGTAAATATTAATTAATTGCGTTGGATATGTGTGTATATGGTTTGTGATGTACATGGTTGCTTGTATTCAGCAAACGACTGGTACATGTATAAAACAACGGATGTTGTACATAAGCTGTTTTTGCGTAATTTGAATTTATATAAGCTGCAACAAAAGAACGTCAAAATTGTCATTCATAAGAAAATCACACGGACCAGCAATCCCTCCTATTCTAAATTACAACTTCTAATTCCAAACAACAGGAAAGTACTACCGCTGCTGCTGCTGCTGCTAACCGTGTAGTTGTAGAAGGAAGTATCAATTATATTTGCCACTACTTCAAAGCTTACGCAAATGAGATGATGAACCCTTGATTCTGTGCTAGGCTGGAAGGTTGCTTTTTAGTAGCTAGCATTGCAGATGTCGGAGGATTGACTCACTAATGGACCGGACCACTTCCTTCCACCCTCTTCCTGAGCTGAAACCTTATCAATTGTCTTTTGGCTCACTTCAGTTGCTGCCTTGGCAGCCCTATTACCTGCGATGTCCCAGTTAATATGTAATGATTCTTCATGATTGCAGATCCAGCACTACTGGCCGTTGGCTCTGCAGCTGAAAACACAACCTTGGTCTTCTCAGAAACCTGAAGCCTTTCATCCATTTGCTTCACCTTATCATTTACCATGCTTGTGCCAGCACTAAGTTTGTCAGTGAAACCAATCTTTTGGTCCAAATAAGAAACTGTGGCCATCGCAGTGGAACTATGTTGATGTTTAAGCTTTGCAGCTGCCTTTCTGATTGTCCTGTTTTGTTTCTTTGTAATTCAAAGTTTCTTTTCTCTTAGTTTTGAAATGTAAGGCTGAGATTAAATCAAAGCTAATAGGCTATATGTGTGTGTGTGTCTCATGGTATAACATCTCACTTATATGTGAGCATGTGATATACACGTGAGTGTGTGTAATGGGAGAGTGAGTGCGCCTTCAAACGGCTGTATCTCACCCCCACTCTATGTTTTGTAGCTTCTTAATCATTTCAGTCATAGCTGAAAGGAATCAAAAGAATTTCACAGAGCTCTTCATCTTCTTTGCACCTTCATTTTTCGTGTTGTTCTTGGTTGAAATCAAAATCTTATTGATTTCTTCTTGTTTTTGTGCTCTGCTGTTTCATAGAACACTAACATGGCCTCAGAGCCAGGTTCATCGCTTTAATCTGGGCGTGAATCTGTGATTTCTGGGTTCTTCAGTGAATCGCTGAAGAATCGAGTTTCTTAAATCTCCAAAACGAAGATTTGTGTCTAACATGGCTGGATCAATGAGTTCTGAACTTCGTACTCCCATTTTCAATGGCGAGAACTATGAATTCTGGAATATCAGAATGCGAACCATTCTCAGGTCTCATGGACCGTGGGATCTTGTAGAGACTGAGTTCACTATCCCAGAATCATCTACTGTGGTTGAGATAGCTGATGAAAAGAAGGAGAATGATGCAGCTACTCAAATTTCAACAAACGTTGCGGAGATCATAATGAAGGATGCTAAGGCCCTTGGGTTGATTCAATGAGCTGTGTCTGATCAGATTTTTCCCAAGATTTCTAATGAAGAAACATCCAAAGGAGCTTGGGATATCCTACAGCAAGAATTCAGAGGTGATAAACAGGTTAGAAATGTGAAATTACAAGGTTTACGCAGAGAGTTTGAGTATACTAGGATGAGAGATGATGAATCTTTGTCTGCATATCTTACTAAACTGTTTGACATCATGAATCAAATGAGAAGTTATGGTGAAGAACTATCTAGGGAGAGGGTTGTTCAAAAATTACTTATAAGCTTGCCTAGAAGTTATGACTCTATCTGTGCTGTGATTGAACATTCAAAGGATATTGAAACACTTGAAATCCAAGAAGTGGTTGCTTCTCTGAAGGGTTATGAACAAAGGCTTGATATGCATACTGATCATTCTACTGAAAAGGCATTTGCTAGTCTAAATGTTGGGTCTAAGTTTCAAAAACCCAGTGGGTTCTCTGGTACACAGAAATCAGGGAAAAGTTGGAAGAACAAAGGGAAAAAGTGGGATAATAAGCCCAATTTTATCTCTAAGCAGAATAATTCTCATGATTCGAACAAAACAACTTGCAAACATTGTGATAAACTGCACTATGGAAAGTGTTGGTTTGAAGGAAAACCTAAATGCACAAATTGCAATAAATTTGGTCATGAAGTCAGAAACTGTAATGGAAACAAAGTGGTGCAGAAGGCCAATTATGCAAATTAGGTTGATGATATGGGAACTTTATTCTTTGCTTGCAACTTTGTGTCTCAGGTGAAAGTCAATAACACTTGGTATATTGACAGTGGTTGTAGCAACCACATGACAGGAAATGAAAGCTTGCTGGTGAATGTGAGTAGAAATCTGAATGCAAAAGTAAAAATGGGAACTGGTGAAGTTGTGAGTGTAGCAGGAATAGGCACACTAGTCATTGAAACCAAGATGGGAAGAAAGCACATACAAGAAGTAATGCTTGTGCCTAGTTTGGAAGAAAATCTTCTAAGTATGGGGCAAATGTTGGAACATGGTTACTATCTGCTATTTGGTGATAATGCAGTTTGTATCTTTGATAGCTGGAACTTGAATGGACTGGTTGCTAAGGTTCAAATGACTAGCAACAGATGCTTTCCCTTAACTATGATGCCTGCCACACCACTAGCATTAAAAGCCAGTGTATCTCATTGTATTCAGGTTTGGCACAAGAGACTAGGTCATTTGAACACAAGGAGTTTGCTGCAACTCAGGGAGCAAGAAATGGTTCATGGGCTACCTCACTTGGAAAATTCCAAGAATGTCTGTGAAGGATGTATGCTTGGTAAGCAACATAGAGATGAGTTTCCAAGAGAATCTGCTTGGAGAGTTAAATTCCCACTTGAATTGATACATACTGATATCTGTGGTCCAATGCAAATTGCTTCAAATGCTGGAAACAAGTACTTCATTCTGTTCACTGATGATTGTACGAGAATGACATGGGTCTACTTTCTGAGGTACAAATTTGAGGCATTGGAGTATTTCAAAGGGTTCAAAGCAATGACAGAATTGCAGTGTGGGTACAAGATCAAGTATCTAAGAAGTGATAGAGATGGTGAGTGCTTGTCTTCTGAATTCAGTGACTATTGCAATGTTTCTGGGATTCAAAGACAACTAACCATGTCATACACACCACAACAGAATGGTGTGTCAGAAAGAAAGAATAGAACTGTGGTGGAGATGGCAAAAACTATGTTACATGAAAAGGGTATGCCATATCAGTTTTGGGCAGAAGCTGTGCACACTGCAGTGTATCTCCTCAACAGATGTCCTACTAAGGCTTTGGATAAAAAGACTCCTTTTGAATCCTATGGTGGAAGAAAACCTGGAATTGCACACTTGAAGATTTTTGGGTCAGTATGCTATGTTCATGTTCCCATGAATCTAAGACACAAACTTGAGTGTAATAGTCACAAATGTGTGTTTGTGGGGTATGGAATCAGTGAGAAAGGATACAGATTATTTGAATTGTCTAGAGATGTAGTATTTGATGAGAGTGCTAGATGGGATTGGAATGACAGCTCTGGAAAACAGTCCAGTGTATCAATTACTACTGATATGGCAGAATCTAATCTAACTCAAGGGTCAAATGTTCAAGATGAAAGTGTAGTCCCTGAGGTTATTTTTGATACTTCACTAGATGGTTTGAATACTAATGCTGATGATCCAAGCTCAAACATTGATCTATCACAGAGCTATGATTCTACTCCAAAGAAATGGAGATCCTTAAATGAAGTCCTTGCACAGTGTAATGTATGCACTATGGAACCCGAGAATTATGAAGAGGCTGCCCTAGATTTGTCTTGGATGAAAGCTATGCAAGCTGAGCTAGACATGATTGAGAGGAATAATACATGGATGCTAGTAGATAGACCATCTAGCAAACCTGTGATAGGTGTGAAGTGGGTACACAAAACAAAACTGAACCTTGATGGAAGCATTCAGAAAAACAAAGCTAGACTGGTTGTAAAAGGTTATTCATAGAAGCCAGGTATTGACTTCAATGAGACCTTTGCACCAGTTGCTAGGCTTGACACCATAAGGACTTTGATTGCACTTGCAGCTCAGAAAGAATGGCAACTATTCCAGTTAGATGTAAAATCTGCATTCCTTAATGGTGTACTCAAGGAGGAAGTTTATGTTGATCAACCTCAAGGATTTGTCATACAAGGCAAGGAGGATAAGGTGTATAAGTTAAGTAAGGCATTATATGGCCTTAAACAAGCTCCAAGAGCTTGGTATGATGAAATTGATTCTTACTTCACCAAGGCAGGTTTTAAAAGAAGTCCTAATGAAGCCACCTTATATACTAAGGTTGAAAAGTCAGGGATTCTCATAGTTTCTGTCTATGTTGATGATATTGTGTACACTGGAAGTAGTGACACAATGCTTGACAGATTTAAAAATGACATGATGCAGCATTATGAGATGACTGATTTGGGATTGCTACATCATTTTCTTGGTATGGGAATTGTTCAAACCAAGAAAAGCATCTTCATACATCAGAAGAAATATGCAATGAAATTGCTGGAGAAATTTGGACTACAAGGTTGTAAATCTGTGGGAACACCACTTGTAGCAAATGAAAGGTTATGCAAGAATGATGGGAGTGAAGCTGCAGATGAGTCTGAATACAGGAAATTGGTGGGAAGTCTTCTGTATCTTACTGCCACTAGACTAGATATAATGTTTGGTACTAGTCTCTTGGCAAGATTCATGCATGGTCCAACTAAGAAACATATGGGAACAGCAAGAAGAGTACTGAGATACATTCAAGGTACTATGGATTTTGGCATTGAATATGTAAAAGGAAAGTCAGAACTTCTTATTGGATATTGTGACAGTGACTGGGCTGGGAGTATTGATGACATGAAAAGCACATCAGGGTATGCTTTCAATCTTGGCTCAGGTGTGTTCTCTTGGGCATCAGTTAAACAAAACACAGTGGCATTATCCACTGCAGAAGCAGAATATGTAAGTGCTGCTGAAGCAACATCTCAGGCCAAATGGTTAAGATTTGTTTTGGAAGATTTCGGGTAAGAACAGGTTGAACCTACTGTGCTAATGTGTGATAACACTTCAGCAAAAGCTATTGCCAAGAATCCTATGTTTCATCAGAAAACAAGACACATCAGCAGAAAATTTCATTTCATCAGAGATGCAATACAAGAGAATGAGATTGAACTTGTTTATTGCAAATCTGAAGAACAAATGGCAGATATTCTGACAAAGGCACTACCAAAGGAGAAGTTCAATTATTTCAGAGAGATGCTAGGAGTAAAGTCAGCTGCCAGCTTAGAGGAGAGTGTTGATGTTTAAGCTTTGCAGCTGCCTTTCTGATTGTCCTGTTTTGTTTCTTTGTAATTCAAAGTTTATTTTCTCTTAGTTTTGAAATGTAAGGCTGAGATTAAATCAAAGCTAATAGCCTATATGTGTGTGTGTCTCATGGTATAACATCTCACTTATATGTGAGCATGTGATATACACGTGAGTGTGTGTAATGGGAGAGTGAGTGCGCCTTCAAACGGCTGTATCTCACCCCCACTCTATGTTTTGTAGCTTCTTAATCATTTCAGTCATAGCTGAAAGGAATCAAAAGAATTTCACAGAGCTCTTCATCTTCTTTGCACCTTCATTTTTCGTGTTGTTCTTGGTTGAAATCAAAATCTTATTGATTTCTTCTTGTTTTCATGCTCTGCTGTTTCACAGAACACTAACAAACTAAGCTGGTGTTTCTCATCAAAGGCCTTTGCCTTGTTGATCGCATCTTTTCCCAAAATGAATCTTTTGGCGAGCATGCTGCTCACGACATCCTTTGCATTGTGTACAGCAGATTGCGCACCACCAGGATTTACATTTTCCGTTGCCTGAGGTGGATGAACAACTGAACACCGTCAGAAGCAATTGTTATTGATGTTAGAGGAAAAGTGCCCTTAGAAAATAATATTACAGTTGGAAGTGCTGAAGCCACAGCAGCTGGAAGCTTGTAATCTGGAGCCAGATCCATGGTAACGGACTGATTGACAATTGTTGCTCCCTGAAAGATAACACACATAATTGAGAAAACCAGACGAGATCACAACAAAACTGATTAAGAGTATCAGAATATCAGATTCTCCTCAAATTCCACTAGATACGCAAGTTTACAACAAAAATAGTCCAAACTCCGGAATCATAAGTTATACAAAAAGAAGGGAAAAAGGATAAGAAGAGAAAAAGAAATGTAAAAAAGCGTTGAGAAGTGAATGACCGAAAGAAGCACTGAAGTTTTTGCCCCCTTGAAATCCTTGAAGGTAACATATGCAACCTGAGACCTCTCATTGTCGCTGCAGTAAAGAAGAAAAGAAATCAACTTTCTGCATCACAATGTGTTTAATTAAGAGAACAGTAAACAGGAAAGAGAGGGAGAAAAGAAAAGCAACCGTTTAATTTCAATGTATTCAACTTCACCGGAGAAGGAAAAGAAATCCTTTAAATCATGTTCCGTTGCAGCGAGGGAGACATTGCCAACTTTCAATGTCCTGATCTGTCAGTCATGTCAAAGTGTGAGAGAATGTATGTAAGCATGAATATGGAGTGACTGATGTTTGTAGATTGGAAAATTTACAACTTGGTTTGTGCCAGAAGTTGGATCGGATTAAAGAAAACAAACAAAACGTAGAAAAAGGGAGGGGGTCAGAGGGACAACCAACAAATATCTGGGAGGGACGAGGGAGGGATGCAACGCAAAGTAAGTTAACTTACGAGTCAGTCGGTTGATACCAATTGGGCTGACTCAATCCAACGCTATAAGATTGGGCTTATTAATCAAGGCCTAAAGCCTTCAACAGCCGTTGTGAAGTGGTCCGTTGACTAACAAAGCAACGTCGTATGGTGGGGCCCACCTGCGGACAGGAGAGGGAGAGAGTCGGTGTCTAAGTCGTCCTTGCTTGCGGAATAGCATAGTTTGACCTTTCCTTTCCTTTGAAGTGGAGGTGAATTTTGATTTGAGAGGAGAAGAAGAAGTGATTGGATTGGATATTTGGATTGATTCAACTCTGGTATTTATTCTAAGTGGTTACACAAACAACCAAACCAAACCAAACCAACGACATTTCCTTCCTGAGTCTCTGTCTGCACCCAACCACCAAACACCGCAACCCCCATTAACCCCCCAAAACACAAGCAACACAGAAAGAAAAAGGAGCAAGAATGAGTTTCCAAGATCTCGAGGCTGGTTCTTCTCCCCAACAGCAACACCAACAACGACGACCTTTCGTTTACTCGAATGCGATTCAGAACCAGCAGCAAAATCCAAGTCAAAATCTTTACGAGCCGTCCCAGGCCCTGTCTGCCGGGATTTTCCAAATCAACACCGCCGTATCCACTTTTTACCGCATCGTCAATTCCCTCGGCACCCCCAGAGACACCCTTCAACTCCGAGACAAGCTGTCAGTACTACTTTTCATATTCCATTTTCTTCTTCTTAATAATTCTTCCCCTCTTTTCTATTTCTTATTAGGTTTGTATGATTAGACGTAGTATTTGCTTGATTGATTGATTGTACGTTGATGAGAGTTATCAATGTTCCAACCTAATCCACTGTTTATCTCAATGGGAAATTGGCACTTGGCACTTGGCACTGGCAGGCATAAGACAAGGGCGCATATTGGGCAGTTGGTGAAAGATACTTCTCAAAAACTCAAGCAAGCTAGTGAAACCGATCACCATGCCCAAGTTACTGTAAGTATTCAATTCATTTTACTTGTCTAACTATGTAAGTTGTTATTATCAGACTTCACCCCTTTTGGCTGACAAACTGCAGGTTGTCAAGAAGATTGCGGATGCTAAGCTTGCAAAGGATTTCCAGGCCGTACTTAAAGAATTCCAGAAGGCTCAGAGGCTTGCAGCTGAAAGGGAAACAACATATGCTCCCTTTGTTCCCAAAGATGTTCTTCCATCCAGGTATTATCTTATCACGTGTTGTTACTGAGAGGAACACACTTTAACACAAGCATTGGAGTTTCTATAAAGTGTAAACTTGCACGTCTAAGTTTACGTAATTCTTCTCGATGATTTTACTCTAATTTTCTCTCTATTACTTGCATCTTCTAATCATCAATGCCTTTCATCATATTGTGCAGTTATCCTGCCCATGAGCAGGAGATGAGTTCTTCCAGGAGTTCTAAACACCAAGCTCTTCTTCTAGAATCAAAAAGGTGGGTAACTAAATATACTTCCATAAGTTGAGAAACTTCTGTTATTTCTATCTATAATACCCTGAAGGAAAATTCATCATCCTAAAACCAAAGAAATCTTCGAGTTTCTAGATAGTCAAGTAAAAGAGTCACTTCCCTTAAAAGGAAAGAAATACCTTCTTAACTAGTTAAGGGATTTTTCTTCTGTGCCTGATCATAAAGGATCTCCATTTCCTCGATAACATTGTTAAACGGATTGTGTTAAGCAATCTTATTGTTTTGCTAGCTTTGATAGGCCAGATGAATGTATCTTCTTCCCATGGAGATGTTTTCCCTTTTTTTCTTAATTTTTTTTTTTTATGGAAACACATTTTCTAACTGCATAAGGTTCTCTAGTAATTTGGGCTTGCCCTGAAAACTAGTTATTGCCTTTGATGTTCAGTGCCTATCGTGATGCAACTGGAATCCATGGTTAAGTTATAGATTTGATATGTTGTATGCAGACAAGAGGTCGTACTTGCAGACAATGAGATTGCATTCAATGAAGCCATTATTGAAGAAAGGGAGCAAGGGATCCAAGAAATTCAACAACAGATCAGCGAGGTTAATGAGATTTTCAAAGACCTAGCTGTCCTGGTCCATGATCAAGGAGCTATAATCGGTTAGTCCAGTTTCTGTTCATTGTTACGTAGAAATTGAATTCGTGTTTGTTGAGTCACTTGTACATTGTGTGCCCTACTTTGAAAGACGCTGTCTGTACATGTGTGTGTTTTCAGATGATATTGGTGCTAACATTGAGAACTCCCACGCTGCAACTGTCCAAGCAACCTCCCACCTTGTGAAAGCATCCAAGACCCAAAGATCTAATTCATCCCTGGTAATTTTCTTTTCCTTCCAACACATGAACCCGTTTCCAGTTTTATCTTGTTTTGTGTATTCAACTCCAAGATTAAGTTGCTATAAAAATTTTAACCAAAGGGTGCGATATATAGGCTGGATTGACATACATATTGGTTAATTTCTTTATTTCAGTTATTATTATATAAAGCATTGGATTCATAGAGGTTGCTAATTGTTTGTGTTATTTGGGCAGACGTGTTTGCTGTTGGTGATATTTGGAGTCATCCTCATCATTGTGATTATAGTTATCATGGCTTGAGCAGTGATCAAAAGGAATGATATATAAAGTATTTCCTTGCAAGAACAAATCTTTTCCTTGTCTCGTCTCCTATCCTCTCCTCTCCTCTCCTTCAACTTTGAGCTGGGTCTGATGCTAATGCCAAATGACTCAGACTCAACTCTTGGTGTTGGAGTGGCTGGCATCCTCGTCGGCTGTAAACAAAATGCACAGTTACTATGTATACTTGGGGTATATAACCTTCCCCAAGCCTAGAAGCATAGAGTCAGCAAACACATGTATTTATCATTTTTTTCTCCTTAAACTAATGATGTATTTATCTTTTTGTTTTTGAAGGTAGTGATTTTCACACTTTTTATTTTATTTTTTTTTTTGTTCCTTTTGTGTCAAATCCTTCTTGCTTGTAAATTTCTTCTTGCTTATAATGTTAAAAGTAAACAGTATCTGAAGTATTTCATTAAGATCCCTAAATAAAATCCTATTTTTTATAACGAAACATGCCCTTGATTGATTTACGCAGAAGGAAAAAGTTAAAAAAAAAGAAAGAATAGAACTTAGCAGGCAAAACAAGTAGTAAGAAGAGCCCATTGCAGGATTGTTATTGTAAGCCCGTTTGAGAGTAAGAGTTGAGCCCAAGAACCTCAACCCAGCGCATCTTTCTTCTTCTATTTTTTTTTCTTTTTTTAACAAACAATATATCTACGCTAAAAAAATAAGAAAACAAAAATTAGTAATAATATGATTTAAATTTACAAGAAAATAATAAGTGGCTCAGCAAACCATCTTGAAAAGCGAGGAATAAAGAAAAAGAATAAACTAAAAACAAGGGAACAATTTCCTTGCTGCAAAGTCTTGGTCCCTTGGATTGGAATTTTGATGGATGGATGTTACCTTGTTCGACAGAGCTGAGCTGAGACGGCAAACTCAGTGGATTCCAAATCACCATTTTCTCTGAGAAACCCATCCGTCCTTCCTTCCGGCGTCTCAGCCACCCACCACACCCCACCAAGGTTACCTGCCTGAGATCTCTCACCTGGGTTTGCTTTCTGTCTTATAATTTTTTTCATCAAATTATTCATCAGGTCAGGAATTACTTGTTAATATTCTTTTATTTTCTGTGGAATACGAATTAACCTTGTTTCTAAGAATTCAAATCGATTCCATTCGATTCAGTTTGTACCCGATGATGTGATTTCTTTCTTTTGTCTTTGCACTTTGTGTCATGTTATCAGTTGTCCATGACAATTCATCATTCCTCCAAACTTTGATTTGATGCACTTGAAGAATTGACCTTGTTTCTTGTCGCCTTTGGCCTCTCTCATCGTGACATGTTCTTCTTACAGATACAGGCCTTTCCAGTTCATAGAATTCGATTCAATTTGACCATTTCACGATTTCCCAACTACTCAATTGCCCTCTTCTCTCGTTTCTACTTAAGTATTATTATATCATGTTCTTAATTCCAATATATCGTCTTCATTATCTTGACTTGATTATACAAGATCCCTGTCCGTATTCAACTCCCCTAAACCTTTTCTGATAATCTTTCTTCTGGAATAAACTTCCAGACTTGATTCTTTGGTAAGACAATAACAATGGCATCCCTATTTCACTCTGCAGGTCGCGTCTCAAGAGTCCGGTAACTTTCCCACTCATTGTCAAGGTAATACTTGTACCCATGAATTTATGTTTCACCTATATTCCAGTAACAGTGCATAAGCATGCCTGCTCTGTAATACATCTTGTGCTTATTATCTTGGCAAATAATGCCATTACACTGGTTACCTTCCACATGGTACACTACACACCTTCAACCGTAGTAGATAATGCACTCAACTTGTTATTCTCAATTTGCTTTTCCATATGATACACAAATTTACCCCTCTTTTTTTTTTTTTTTTTTTTTTTTTTATCAATTCTGGGGACAATAGAGTTACATTCAAACCTGTGCATGTCGTATTGCTTTTTGTATTTATGATTTGCCAACATGAAAATTATTGAAAGGCGTCTTTTCTTTTGCAGTTGACGTAAACTACTGCATGGCCTCTGTGGCTGATGTGGCATAAATGGAAGGAGAAGTTCATGAGCAAATTATCCAAGTATATCAAGTATTTGCTGGGGATTGACAACACTATCCCAATGGTGAACCCAAAACTTCCCCGTCGTCCAGCCATATCCTATAGGCCTATACAACCGTCTGACCTTGAGATCTTAGAGAAAATCCATGACGATTTATTTCCCATTAGGTACATAATCTCATTCGCTACTTTCTCATGGGCATGTTCTTTGCTACCATGACACTGCTTTCTACAAAAGGTTTTGCCAATCTCTCTACAGGTATGAGGCTGAGTTTTTCCAAAATGTCGTCAATGGACATGATATTGTGTCATGGGCAGCTGTTGATCGAAGTCGTCCAAATGGTCAAAGTGATGAACTTATTGGATTTGTTACCGCACGAATTGTTCTTGCAAGAGAAAGTGAGGTGTGTCTTCTATATTCCTAGCCTCTTTCTTTCCTGTGTGAATCTGTGGGGAGGAATCACCACAACCGTAAATTATTGTGGTTATTATTTGGTCTTTCTGGTTTAACTGAAGTCATTGGAAAATTGGGAGTACTTACAGAGTTTGACACTCCAGATTTTGCAAGTATATGAAAGTATGGTTAGCTGCATTGTTTGTTCAATTTTCCTGAATTACCCTAACTCTTTTATGAAAAAATGATTGGTGTTGTAGATAGGGGATTTGCTCAGTTTCGACTCATCAAATTCAGATCAGACGTTAGTCTACATTTTGACACTGGGAGTAGTAGAATCTTTCAGAAATCTTGGCATAGGTAAAAGTTTGTCTCTTTGTTGTTATGGAGTCTAAGAATTTCTTTCACTATATGGTAATTTGTTTCCCTTGGACTTGCAGCTTCAGCACTTATTCGGGAGGTCATAAAATATGCCTCAAGTATTCCAACCTGCAGAGCAATTTACTTGCATGTCATTTCTTACAATAATTCTGCAATCCATTTGTACAAGAAAATGTCATTCATGTGTGTCAGAAGGTTGCAAGGCTTTTACTTGATCAATGGTCAGCATTATGATTCATATCTGTTTGTGTACTATGTAAATGGTGGCCGATCTCCTTGCTCGCCATTGTAAGTATAACATGCTTCATTTTTGGTTCATTCTGATATGCCATGTTGTTACATATGGAGATAATATTTTCCTTTTTCTTTAATAAAAGATGATTGCAGATTGGTAGAGAATAAATTTCTGAACATTTTGGCTACCTGCAGTGGAAATGTTTAGCTCCCTCATTTCACCTACGGCATGGATTTTCATTCTTTAGAGGCAATGTGAATATATAAACAAGTTTAAAAAATTAGGAGAAGACATAACAAAAACCAAGTTTTCAATTAACTTTTGTTATTGATGTGCATTGATCTGCTAGATGTTGGTATCTTGAATTCCTGAAGTTGGAAGTTATTATACTTGTACATCCAGCTATTTAAAACGTAGAGTTTACATGTTTTTGTTGAAATTCCTCAGCAAAATGATGCAGGGAAAAAAGGATTTTCTGGTAGAAGATAATAAGAAACGTGCATTAGCGGAGAAAACCATAGCATAGATGCATGTGACAGTCTGGTTTTATATACCTGTCAAAAATAAAGTCTCTGTCTTGTCAAGTACTTCTAAACTGATCAGGTTATTGATTGTTGTTTTGGGATTGTTTTATGTTGCAGGGAGCTGGTTGCAGGGACGCTGAATTTTATGAGGAATGGTCTTAAGTCTGTGTTTGCAATGCTACGGAAGAACGAAGACAGGAAGGTGTCAAAGTGGGCAAAATGTAAAGAAAACCATAGCCTTATATCAACGGGACCAAACAGGAGAAACCTGACTGCAGCAGAGTGTACAGGGTACGAGTGTGTTTGATTTGTTTGTTCATATTAGAAGTTGGATCGACAGAGAGTAGAGAGACGGAGAGATGAGCAATGAGCGAGCAGGAGGGGAGGTTATGTTGATGCAAAGTAATAAAACGTTGCTTTGCCCCCATGCTTTCTGTTTGAACCATACCAATATACATTTTACATTTTAAGTTACCGCGGAATAACGTCCCCGATGTAATAAACGTTGTTGGGTTGTGTTGTGTTGTAGTTGGATGAAGTTAATTAAAGACAAGAAGCAGGGCGTCACTTGTGAGATCCTTATTTACTTGTTATTTTCTTCTTTGTTGATCTCTTAAGGTATCCTCTACCACACAATACTTACATTTGTTCTTTATGAAAGGTCGACTCGCGTATGGTGTAAGATTTAGGACGAGGTCATCTCACAGTCGCTGATAAGCTAAATAAAACATTACTTACTTTGCCTCCAGCTTCTGGGGAGATTTTTCAGTGTGATTGGTACACGAGATGGTACATCACGTGTTACTAAACAAATGATGAGATATGTGTGCTAAAAAGTTAATAACTTGAAAAATAAAATTTCCCACCATTCCTATTAAAACACGTGGTGTACCACTTGTGTTCCCGTCACAACTAAAAATTTCTCCAACCTTTGGCCTCCGGCCTCCTAGAGTGCAAAAACCTAAAAATTCTTGGAGGGCACGCAAGTGTGTATCGTCCAGAATGTAAATGGCAGGGGCCTCCAAATGTATCCAAGCAATCTTCAATCGAACCGAACCATCCTAATAATAATAATAATAATAATAAAGTTTCCTTTCCTCCTCCCCATCCCCATCTCTAACCCCAACCAAAAATAGTCCACTCGTCTTTAATTGGCGGAAATAGAAACAAAATTAGTGTGTGATCAAGTCTTCTGGTGTGTCCGTTAATTAAGTAATGAAATATTTGGAGGGAGAGTTGCCCTTAATTTGTGGAGCGGGGGAAACTCAGCCTCCAGCCTCACACATGCATGCATGCATGTTTCTTGCAATTAATATGTGTGTGCGTGTGTATATATAGGGGTGAGGTACAGAATAGAAGAAACCACGTAAACTTGGAATTGAAGAAAAAATAACAAAAAACAAGGAATAAATTTATAATGACAGCGTCATCTTCTCTCCCAGCGATGGGTAATCGCCTGGGGAACCGGCAGCTTGCAGCCCTCGCTCTCTGCCTTGTATTGCTCCTCGATGTTACTACCACTACGTTGGTTTTGGCCTCCAAAAAGGGAAAAGGTGGCGGAGGCGGACATGGCAAAGGTGGCGGGGGCGGACATGGCAAAGGCGGCGGTGCAAATAAAGGTGGTGCACAGAAACATGGCGGTCCACAAAAAGGTGGTGCACATGGAACTGCTGGCGCTAAACCCGGTGGTGCTAAGCCAACTCCAACTCCAAACGCTGTTGGTGCAGCACCTGCTGCCGGCGGCACCGTCCCAGCACCTGGAACTGTTGGCGCTAATCCAATTCCAATTCCAAACGCTGGTCCAGGTGCTTATCTAACTCCAATGCCAAACGCTGGTGGTGCTTATCCAATTCCAATTCCAGACGCTGGTGGTGCAAATCCAACTCCAACTCCAAACGCCGGTGGTGCAGTACCCGCTTCCGGCGGCACCGTCCCACCCGGTGGTGTTAATCCAACTCCAACTCCAAACGCTGGTGGTGCTAATCCAACTCCAACTCCAAACGCCGGTGGTGCAGCACATGCTACCGGCGGCACCGTCCCAGCTCCTGGAGTTGGCGGACCCATTACATACCACGGAGGGCCTCTGATGACCGGCGACATTAACCTTTCCATCCTATTTTACGGTGAGTTCAAAACCGAACAGAGGGAAGTGATTCGGACTTTCCTGAGGTCCCTCGAGAACACGGAGAACGATCACGTAGCGGCGGTGCACAGGTGGTGGGACATCGTCGAGAGCTACCAATTGTTCGCTAGTCCAACCCCCGGTAAGGGTACCCCACCCAAACTCCGCATCAAGGTGGGGACCCAGCAGAGCGACGACAAGTACTCGATCGGAAAAGTGATAACCTATGAGTTCATCAAGAGACTGTTAAAGAAGGCCGACTCCGGAAAGCCCAACACTATTACCGTGATCTTTACCGGGAGCCAAGTGACGGTGCACAGCTTGTGCCGTGGCAGATGCTACGAGCATGGCTTGGTTGAGAACAGACCCTACATCGTCGTCGGCAACCCCGAAATCTTGTGCGCCGGGAGTTGCGCTTGGCCATTCCAGAGGCTGGACTACGGTACTCCTAATCAAGTGCCGGTGAAGCCCCCCAACGGCGACATGGGCATTGACGCCATGGTGGTCCACTTCGCCTCCGGCTTGGCTGCCGCCGTCACCAACCCATTTAACACTGGATTCTTCAAGCCGGGACCCAAGAGCGACCCCATCGAGGCCGTCACGGCCTGCGAAAACATCTTCGGAAGCGGCGCCGTCCCAGGCCAGACCGGCAAGGTTGAGGTCGACCCCGCTACCGGTGCCTCCTACAACGCCATAGGAGAGAATGGTATGAAGTTCATGCTCCCGGCCGTCTGGGACCCACGAACTTCTTCCTGCTGGACATCTATGTAATGTAATTTATCTCCTAAAAAATGCTACTCTTACTATATAATCCTGAGTCCTGACTGAGGACAGTACTTCCCCCAGTCGCATGATGATCAGGTATTAATTAATGCTTGATCCATGTAATTTTTCCGTTTTTGTTTATCATTTAATTGTCCACCTGACATGATTACTGGCCATGCATGCATGCATGACGACCTCGTGTCATTTAATTTCCACGCATTTATGAAACTGAGATCAACTGCAATTTTCTTCTCCTTCTTTCCTTTTGTCTTATTCATCCTTCACATTAATTCATTTGATGTTCCCAAATCAATTTGTTTTTTTTGGTAATGTAATTTTTAGTTCATTGCACAAATAGTGGAAATCACATGTCGAAATATTAGTGGACAAAGATAAACCGAAAAAGTATATGGGGAAAATAAATATCAAGATACTGGTGGAGCCAAGAAGCATTGTCAAAGATACTAAGAATGAGTTTGTTGCATCGAATTATCTCGAACTGAATTAACTTCAGAGATTAAGTTAGACTGACTTAAAATTAACTAAATTGTACAGTTGTACTGACTTAGAATAAACTAAGTTGTATAAACTTAATGAAACATATAATGAAGTATCGGATTAAGAAGCATGATTGACCTGAAAAATGAAATCCAGCTTCATGCGTCATACCTAACCTGAGAAAACCATTTCCAATAAGCCATTAACAAAATTAATTCCAAGTTGCTAAATTTGCTTCTCAAAATTTCAGAATCTGAAGAAACAAACAAGATCCATTTATTGACAAAGCTAAAGCTAGCTCCTTGGACATCAATTCCTCAAAATTTGAAGGAAAATGCAAAACCCAGTTGAATAAATTACTTTTGGTGGAGGATTCAATGGAGGGCTAGTTGCGTCTCTGAAACTGGTGCCAAAATAGAAAAAAAATCCAATATACCATTTCCCTCTCCCTCTTTACAGACACAGCCTCTGCACAGACCCAACACCCCCCACTCCCAAATTGATTCCTCGGAGGTGAAACGAAAGATGGCGAGAGCGGGATCTTCCTCGGAGGTTTGAATATGAGGTCGTTCTTGATTCTGGGTTCGGTGTGAGGAGAAAGGGAGAGAGTAGCGGTGGTCTGGTACGAGCAGACAAAGCGAAGGGACTGCCTTAGCAAGTTTTAATTCAAATGATGTGGCTCTCCAAATCAAATATCATCTAAGGTAGTATGAAAATGTGGTACAAAAATATGGTATGAATAACATTACTCCCTAATTAAGACATATGAATGCCATTAATTCGATCCGTGTTCTATCTTCATGATTAGAAAATAGCTACAACATCTACAATGTATTTCAAATGCGACCATTTGGATAAATAAACAATCTTCTTTTCAAATAATTCTTTTATAAGAATGATTTAAAAAAAAAGATTAAAAAATTGAATGATTATATGAATCGCACCATGCACGGTATTATTCTTTTAACTGGTTGATTAGTAGATATATACACAACCACGTCACAATGGTAGCTAGTCCAAGGTCAGTCATGCATGGTGCGCATCAACCTCTGTGTGTGTGTGTATATATATAGGTGTCATTAAAACTTCTGTTTTATATATATTGTCAAGATGATAACTCAAGAAGATTTTATATATATATATATATATATATATTATGCAATACGTGTGTGGATCATGAGTTACTGGATTGGAGTGTTTCGTCTCCTCTGATGGTACGTGTTGCACTTCATCTATTTAAGGTCAAAATTAATGTTAATATTTGCACAAATAGTCTTTCAAGTTCACTCAATTTTTTATTTGTATGGTTAGTTAATCCGTCAAGTGAGGTAAAGGTTTCAAGTTGTAACAAAATTGAGTTTTCTTTGTCAAACTCATGATGTTCAAGCTAATTGGTTTTGATTTGTGGAAACCATTTTATGAATTTAATTAGTCATAAAGAGGAGAAAAAAACATGTCGAGGTTTTTAAATTAAACCTTGAAATAAAACAATTTCGAGACTTTGAATATTCAAATCCTAAGACAAGTCATTAATAGTTGCATGTTGTCTATACCATATTTAGTCATTCTGATGACTGGTGATTGATGTCGTTCTCTCCTTGTCAATCGTGTGGTTCTTACTTCTCTGCCCTAACATCAATGTCATTATAACTTGTTTGCGACCGATCGACCAGTGTACCCATGCGATCAAACACCGATCGAACATTGACTTCTCTCTTCCCATGTGACAGAGAGCGACATACACAAAATAATATAGATCATCTCACTTCTATATATTTCTCTTAGACCTCTTCTATATTATATGTGTATGTATAGTTTCCGTAGAAAGTGTGTGTGTGTGTGTCTCTCTCTCTATATATATAATTATAGCATGCATACGTTATTCAGTCAAAAAACACTAAATTGAAATGCAGTAACTTATACACAACAAGAAGTTCAAAAACGAAACATCATCTTGCACAGCGGAAGCATATAAACAAACATAATCTCAATTAGGGTTTAAATTGTGTGGCTCTGATACCACATGTTGGAGTTTACAAGGATTGATTACAACTAAACCCTAATGAACTACATTGCAATATTAATCACGATATTGCATGTACTGCATTTAAGTCAGTTTATATGCATGCTTAAGGTTTCAATTACGAAGTGTAGTCACTTACTTGTAGTAGAACACAAAGCCATTAGTTAATCTTGT